CTGTTACCTCATCACTGTTTAATTTCCTTCTGTAACTTCTTCCTCCTATGCCGTCCCCATTAACGGGGGTTGGCGACCACATTTCTAAAAGTTTCTCTGTCTTTTGCAACGTGGAATAATTCATCTACAGTCATGTTTGTCCAGTCTCGAATATTTCGCAGCCATGACTTCCTCTTTCTACCTTTTTGCCATCGGATCTACCCTGCATGATGTCCTACAGAAGACTATATTTCTCATTCCTCTAAGGTATGCAGTCTTGCGTACTTTTATTGTTCTCAACAATTTTTTGTCTCGACCCATCCTTCTCAGCACTTCCTCATTGGTAACTCTGGCAGTCTATGGAATTCTCAACATTTTCCGGTACATCCAAAGTTCAAAAGCTTCAAGCTTCTTAACTATTTGCGCTTTTAACGTCCATATTTCTACCTCGTACAATAGTTGGGACCAGACGTAACATTCAACAAACCTCAGTCTCAGCGCAGTATTCAGATTTTTGTCACAGAACAATTACTTAAATTTTAAGAACGCTGTCACTTCTGTAAATACTTATCCTAAATATTTGAAGTGGTTTACTCTCTTAATTTTTTGCCCGCTTAAAGATATGAGTGCTTTCATTTGTACTTTTTCCCTAGTTGTTTTTATGTACTTTGCCTTTGAGACATTAATTTCTAGACCCATAGTGTGTGTTGCTTATTTAAATTACATATACATCTTTATGTCTTTAAATCTTTATGTATCTATTATGTCTATAGCATCTGAGTAAGCTATGACTTGGTTATTTTGTAAATATTGTACCTTCTCTATCTAAAGTAGTTTTCCTGATAACTTGTTCCAACGCAAGTTTAAAAAGTAGTGTGGATAGCGCATCTCCTTGTGTTAAGGCCGTGTGACACTATGCATTTTCTTGTATCATTTCTTATATCGTTTCTGATGTAGAAAGTTATTTATGCTTTCTTGTATGCCTGTATGACACTATGCAAGTTCTTTTACCGGAAATTGTATGTGCTTCGGCACATGATTGGTCGATATTTTGTTTACATTCTCTATTTTTGTTCATATCTTCCTTCTACATTGTATCATTTATGTTTAGACCCTATTTCCTTTTTTATGTTTGAAATTCTGGCCCATACTCTACTTTTGACCAGGTAGTGATTTGCTCCTCTCCTGGTGCAGACATTTATTATATCCGATTGGTGTCTTGAGTCTACAATAACATTATCTATGATATTTACTGTAAGCCCATTTGATGATTCCAGGTGCCTTTGTGTATATCTTTTCGAGCGTGTAGGCGAACTAAGGCGAAATAATGTGGTAATGAACGGGCTAGCAATTGATACGCAGGATCAGCTGGTATTGAAGGAAGCAATTGGCAATTTTATAAAAGATCACCTTGCAGTAGAGGCCAAAATAAAGACGGCCCACAAACTAGGTCCAAAAACGTGCCTAATAGAAATGGTGAACCAACAAGAAAAGATAAAAGTTATGAAGAATAAAGCAAAGTTAAAGGACGTCAAAAAGGAAAAGGCATACATCAACGATGACACAACGGTGAGAGAGAGAGAAATTAAAAAAATAATAAGAAAAATTGCACAAGAGGAAAGAAGCACAATGATGATAAATGGTGTTGAATGGAAGTGCAATAGCAAGGAAGATAAAATGGAAATAACAAACTCAAAAAACTAGAAAACGGCTATGATAGTAAAAATACGAAAACGAACAACGCAAGGAACAGGGACATGAATACCGGTAACATTGTCATAGCAAAGGGTGATTTAAAGATAAAAAACACAAAAAAAGGCAATAGAAATACATATCCAAAAGATCACTTAATGGTAGGAACGTGGAACGTAAGGGGTACTTTTGAGGAAGGAAAACTGAAATACTTAACTAAAGAAATTGAAAAGTTTAAATTTGACGTAGTGGCACTGCAAGAAACAAAGCAACTGGGTCAGGAAATGCTGGAAATTGAAAATAGCTTATTTTTTAATAGTGGAGGCAGAAACAGAATATTAGGCACAGGATTTATGGTAAATAAAGCGTTAAAAGCATCAATTGTTGAGTTTAAACCAATATCTGATCATCTATGTTGTCTAAGAATAAGAGGAAAATATCAAAAAATCACATTCATCAACATTCACTCACCGTCAGAAGAAAAAGATACTGAAGTAAAAGAGGATGTGAAGTTAATAGGGTATTTGAAAGTATTCCAAGATATGACATTAAAGTAGTACTGGGGGACGCAAATGCAAAGATAGGAAAAAAAGAAATATATAGAACAACTATAGGAAAATTTAGCAAACACAAGGAAAATAATGAGAACGCCAATTTCTCAAGTGATAATATAACTGCAGAGATGTTCAAATATGAAGGGAAAACGCTAGAGGAGCAAATGTTCAAATTAATAAAGGAAATTTGGATTAAAGAACAACTACCACAAGAATGGACAGATGCAATTATATGTCCACTTTATAAGAAAGGCGATAGGACAGATTGTCAAAATTACAGGGGGATATCACTATTGAATACTGCATACAAAATTCTTGCAGCGTGTATAAAGGACAAATTGGCAGGAGTGATAGAAAACATTGTCAGCGAGTACCAATGTGGCTTCAGACCTGGTAGAAGTACAACAGATCAGATATTTACGCTCAGATAATTGCAAGCGGAAAGTTACTAACACAATCTGCCGACAAGGGTCCTCTTCATTGATTTCAAACAAGCGTACGATAGAATAAAAAGTAATCAAATGAGCAAAGCACTAGAAGAATTGGGTATCAGTAGAAAACTTATAAGAATGATACAAATAACGTTGTCCAAGACTGAGAGCAGAGTTAAAATAAATAATATAATGTCGGAAAAATTTGAAGTCAGTGAAGGAGTAAGGCAAGGAGATCCCCTATCATCGATACTATTCAGCTTGTATTTGGAGAAGGTCATACGAGATGCAAATGTCAACAGAGAGGGATTGTTATACCAAAGAAAGCACCAATGTCTAGCCTTTGCTGACGATGTAGTAATACTGGCACGAAGCAAATGGAGCTACAAGAAGTAGTAAAGAGGCTAGAGAGAGAGGCAAAGAAAATAGGCTTAGCCATCAACGAAAGTATGATGACAGTGAACAAAAAGGAGGAAATCTAAAAATAGAAGTAGAGGGTGAAAAGCATATATATTTGAAGCAGTAGAAAGATTTACATACCTGGGGTCGATGTTCACATGAAAACCAAATATTAGAGAGGAGCGCCAATCAAGAATAATGGCAGGAAACCGATGCGTGTACTCATTAAACAGGCTATTAAAAAGTAAACAGATATCTAGGAACCTACGCCAGTGAAGTGTGGACACTGAACAAAAGCGAAACAGGTATGCTCGAAATATGGGAAAGGAAGGTTTTGAGAAAGATATTCGGAGGCAAGATAGTAGACAATACATGGAAAAAAAGAACAAATAAAGAATTAGAAGATATGTACAAGAATCCTAGTATAGTGGGAGTAGTAAAGGCTCAGAGACTCAGGTGGCTAGGGCACATAGAAAGAATGACAAATTCTCGAGTACCAAAAATGATTCTGATGCATACAATGGGTACAAAAAAAGGAGAGGAAGGCCGAGAAGTAGATGGAAGCAAGAAGTAGAGAAAGACCTAGAAACACTGGGAATAGAAAGATGGAAGGACAAGGCTACAAATAGGAAGAAATGGAAAACAATAACAGCTCAAGCCATGGGCCTACTAGGCTCATAGTGCCATTATATATATATATATATATATATATATATATATATATATATATATATATATATATATATATATAGTATGTGTTGGCAATCACCATGTTTAGTGATGTTGCTAGGTTTATTAACCTAACGCCATTGTCATTTAATTGGTCATGGATAATGTGTTTGCCTATTGTGGGTTAAAATTGCTGTTCTCTTCCAACTGCAAAGATGAACGAAATAAAATGTCCCAATATTAAAACTAAATTTTAATCTTTTATTTGTTTTTTATATATTATGTGTTTGAATGGAATGCTCTTGAAATTCTACTCTCTCATTTGGAGACATAAAATAATCTTTAAACTCATCACAAATTTTTAGAGCGATTATAGTTTTGCCTCTACGTCTCAATGCCTCTAGCATTGTCAAACACGGTGTAGCTACAGCTACTATTACGAAATCGTCGTCCATATTAAGTATCAATATACAAAAAAAAATAAAATCATCAAGTCATCAAATCATATGATCGTATTTTCAGCCGTCATTATGACAGAAGTTTTTACGTTTTTGCACACAAATTGGCTCATTTCTTGTACAAGGAAACTGCAATCGACTCAAATTCTTGTATCGTTTTTGATATAACAACTATACGCTTGTATGACACTATCCATTTTTTTGTTATATCAGAAACTATATAAGAAATGATACAAGAAAATGCATAGTGTCATACGGCCATTAGACCACATTTATACATTAGACATTTAATATAACACTATTTTCGTTACGTGATAAATGGTCCAACTTTAATTTTTTAACTGGTCTATAATCCCAAGTTAATTCTTTCATATTCAGTAAAATCACTCCATAACTATCACAGAAATCACACTATAATACTATGAAATCACTTTATTCGCTTACAATTCACTGGACAAAACTATTCTGGTTATAATAAATGAGCCTCAATAAATCAATGTAATTCCTTAATGTACATATATGACCTGTGTACATATCTCATGGTCTGTTCTTCTAATAATAGCAGTTAGAACAGATATTACGGTATATGGGTGATGTGCAGAAACGTTTACCTAAATAGATAGACAATATAGGAGCTAGACCTGAATTATTGCCATTGTAGGGCAAGCAAAGTTATTAAAATATGCATACTAAGTAAATTTCTTTTCTAAGAAGTTATTCTATTTTACTGTTGAAATATAGTATGGTTGTTTTATTTTTTAGATCAGGTTAATTCTTCAATTAAACAAGACTCAAAATACTTAATTTATACTTCCCAGTGTAGAATACCAAAAACCAATCCATTCAGTGAAGATATTATTGACTTTGTTCATAAAGAAGAGTATGAAAAATGTTCGAATAAAACTTTGCTGTCGTACATTAACAAAACGAATGATATTGTTACTTTACATATCAATCGAAGTGCACAAGAGGAATACAGTAATTCCACCATAGAATGCTGTTATGCGAATATTACTAGAATTAATTATGAAACATCAAGGGATGACCATGTTAAGTAAGTAGCATATTTCGCTTCTATCGTACTACCTTCTCTCTAAGATTTATTTGCCCGAACTGAATGAATAGTCGACGTAATTACAGATATCAAAGCATAATCATATTCGTTTTAATCTTCATTTTTCTACAAAGCTTTACCGTTTTTAATTAGTGGCAACAGGTAAACATGATGGTGTTAATGCTAAGTGTAAGGTGCTATAAATATAGTAACTACGTGGTATTCCAAAAAAGAACTTTCGATAAGTCATAAGAAAACTATTTTATTATTATTATATTAATTAACGATTTTGGAACATGAGTGATGTACAACTTTACGTAGCATGCCCAACTAGCAAATATCACCACTAAAGTAAGAAGGACTACCAAGACGTATAGTTGGCTTTTTGGCAAAACGTGGAGAGTCTTAAATCAAAATCAAGAAAATATCGTTTTGTTTAAAAATATTTCAAAGTTTAAATAATTAAAATAATTCAAAAAAATTGTTTAAAATCCTTTATAAAAGGTATATAAAATTGCCCCAAACGGGCTATCACAAACTGTTGCAGAGTTGTTATCAACAGGTCCTCGTAGACACTTCGTCTCAGGACCATTTTACTCATGTAGAGTCATACGCCGCCATGTTACCTATCCAACGGTAACTTAAACACACGGTAAATCACAAATTATAAGTACTAATAATGTAAAACAACTACAAATTTAAAACATTTAAAGGGTTTTGACCCATATATTTTGGTGGCTACTAGCATGTACAACCGTTTGCACTGATGATGGATTGATTAATCCGAAAACGTTTTGCAATGTGTTTGTGATAGCCCGTTTGGGGCAATTTTATATACCTTTTATAAAGGATTTTAAACAATTTTTTTGTGATATATGGTATACAGCCAGCTACAGGAACTTAGTTTCCTCGTGGAATTTTAAAATAATTCAGATAAGTCGAATTAATAAACGACAAACATTTCGAAGAATGAAAGTCCTTTTATCTTTGGATTACCTATATTGAACAAAACGTAAGCTATGCATAAATTATTTTCTTTGTTATATATATATATATATATATATTTGAGTGACGTGAGCGAACTTAAGACAATTGAACCGGGTTTTCCAAATACATTAGTGCAGTGATTAGAACAATAGAATAGATTTTAGAAAGATAGGTTTTTGTTAGTTTTTAAGAATTGGTAGGAAAATATTATTTTGTAAGTTTTAGGAAATTTTATAATTGTAGGTAAAAATTTGTGTGTTATCGAAATGAAGAAATGGGAGATGTATGACGCGTTTTGATTGGATGAGATTAAAAAAGGGGGGATGATTGGTTTGAGAATGAGACTTTAGTTAGTTTTGGAAAAAAGAAAAGATAGTGAGTTGGTTTCCAAGGGTGCAAGGCGAACGGCCGCTGTTCTCGGGTAGTTTCCCAAAGGTAGGAAGCAGTAGCAGTGAAAGTTTGTGAGTTTTCGTGTAGTTAGTGTATCTGACAGAAGCTGATCCAGTAAAAGATTGTAAGTTATATTTTCTACTTATATTCCAAGAGTCACTGTTCAGGCCAACGAGAGATTCAGTTTATCGTAAAGAAAAGATATTCCAAGAGTCATTTTTCACTCAGGCCAACGAGAGATTGAGTTTATTGAGAGAAGAAGAAGCTAGCATAATTTGAACCATTCGTGCATTTGAAGGAGATCATTAAGGACGATAAACTTGCAATAATTTAGGTCCAATATAGTCTACAAGGAACAAGGATTTGGACCACTCATCATCAGAAAGAGATAGTTTTGTTTTCTGCAGTTTTTCTTTTATTGATAACACAATTTTTACCCTTAATTTAGAAAGGATATAAATATTTTGATTAGGAGATTTAGAATAATATTTATGATAATGAGATTTCAACTAATATTGTTTGTACCATTAATTTTGAAGGTTCACGTACGTAGAACAAAATTTTGAGAATCATTATATGAGATTTTGTTTATTAAGAATTTTGAGTGTGAATTTTATTTCAATATTTTATTTCAATATAATGTTAGATCCTATATGTTTTTTATTATTCCGGTATTCTTTGGACCTTACCTTTCACATGTAATAACATAGATATTGAAACACGAATAGAACCCTGAGATAAGAGAATCATAAAGTGTGATAGAATCGTAGTCATATCATTTAAATAATTTTAATTAATTAATTAATTAATTAATTAACTAATTAATTGCTTGGCGCACTAAGACTTTAAATATCACAATAATATATATATATATATATATATATATATATATATATATATATATATATATATATATATATATATATATATATATATATATATATATATTATATATATATATATATATATTATATATATATATATATATATATATATATATATATATATATATATATATTTAAATATTATTTGTAGTCTCAGCAATTGGTCTGTGGGAAATAAAACTCTATTTGTTATTTTTCAATATTTCGTCACGATTTTGTGACTTCTTCAGGAGAAAACTGTAAATTTATTATAAATATTATATGTAAATAAAATGAATATTTCAATACTTACAACTATAAGATTAAGAATTTAAATTTTGATGACATATCTACTTAAATAAATGATATTTTTGATTTTAATTTATGTGGGAGTTATGGTAACCGCAATATTTTATAGAGTGAATTAACATTGTACAATTTTTAACGAATAAGTTTAAATAAACAATTATTGTGACAGTATTATCCATATTATAAGGTGGAAAAGTAGAGCAGGAACATGGTAAATTGATCTATAAAATGTAATTGATGGTACGTAGTCAGTTATTTAATACTGATATTAAGATCTATCATATCATATATTGTTTAGTATATTACCGTAGATATTACTTAAATGGTTGGTGTCTGTCTTATAATTGATAGATTCTGGAGTTTTAATTTATTTAAGTAGATATGTTATCAAAATTTAAATTTTTAATCTTACAGTTGTAAGTATTGAAATATTCATTTTGTTGTCATATAATAATTATAATAAATTTTCAGTTTTCTACTGGAGAAGTCACAAAATCGTGACGAAATATTGACAAATAACAAATAAAGTTTTATTTCCCACAGACCAATTGCTGAGACTACAAATAATATTTAACACAGTACGGTCGAAAATAATTTGAAAAATAAAATATATTATATTATATATATATATATATATATATTATATATATATATATATATATATATATATATATATATATATTATATATATATTATATATATATATATATATATATATATATATATATATATATATATTATTCTCACCAGTCTTCCGGGTTGAACCGCCTCGATATTCATTTTGCCGAGCTTTCGGCATCCTCTCTGATGTCTTCCTCAGGGATTCCGAGGTCTCAGTCTCCCGAGCCCACAGACACTACTACACTGTTCACTTGTCACTACTACGGCACTGTCACTACTAGTAGTAGTGACAAGTGAACAGTGTAGTAGTGTATAAGGGGTCGGGAGACTGAGACCTCGGAAGCCCTGAGGAAGGCATCAGAGAGGATGCCGAAAGCTCGGCAAAATTAATATCGACGCGGTTCAACCCGGAAGACTGGTGAGTTTAAAATATTAATTTTAGTAATAATATTATTCTTAGCTCTAGGTTTTATTGTACTAACCGCGGAAATCTTTCCGAACATTATATATATTATTCATATATATATATATATATATATATATATATATATATATATATATATATTTATATAAATGTATATATATATATATATATATACATATAAATATATATATATATATATATATTTACGGCATAAAGTGAACTCCGCCCATGTTAAAATTCAGGTTCAAGTGAGCTCCGTGGTCAAGTGGACACCGATATACGGAGCTCACATGACCATTCCATAATATTGGCTCTGTCGATTCGTTAAGATGTATAGTTTCATAATTCTTAATAAAATTTTGGAGCTCATAAGTACCCCTGTATCATAAATGTATTTCGCTTAGTTCACGTGTATATATTATAGGGGTCGTTCAGATCTTTTTCACTGTATATTGGAACCATAGGAATATCGGTTTAAGTAAGCTCTGATAGTTTGGCAACTATGCACTTAGGCCAGCGTTCTTGATATATATATTTTATATATTTTAAACGGTTCATACGGACTCCTTTTCATACGCATTACAATATGTAATCTTCTTCTTCTTCTTGATGTGCCTATCCGTTATGAATGTTGGCGATCATATTGACAATATGTAATAGATATGTATAATACCAAATACCTGTTTTTGGTAGGTACCTGCTATTCTAAAAATAGCTTTTTAAATACAAAAGGATTTCATTACCAAGTTGGACGTGTTTTTTCATATGCGAATATTTCCTAATGTATTTTGTTAACATGAATATGTCTTTATACGTTTTATTTAAGAATACGATTAATAAGAACTTTTAGTTAATCCATTGTTTTACGATATCTTGTATACAGCTTCTTTATTATTTTATTTCTGGTTTTATCTGTGTACTACATATAATTCTGGATATGTTATCTTAAAATAAATATTTAAGTGCAAAAATAGATATTTTTATGTAAAAATTGGTAGTAGTGCACAAAAGAGGGAAGAATGCTTAATTTATATAAGAAGAATGTACCAGTTCACCAATATTACATACTTCTAAATGTTTTATCTGCTATTTAGGGGTAATATGTAATCAATAAACGTGGAGTTAGTGTCAAATTTGCAATAATCTTTGGTCAGTTTTTTCTCGATTTTAGTCATAAATTGAGCTGGTATTCGTTGAGTGGATGTTGCGATTCTAGACTTTGTATCTTTTATTCTCTAGCAGTCTAGCTACTTATCTTCGGATATTAGGTGAATTGATAGCTACGATATTGTAGAGCTTATGTATGGATGTGTGTGTGTGTGTCTTAATATTCGCTGAATTTGGCTGTCTAATTTATAGCTAAATCTACGTGTTAAATATGTGTTGGTGTCATCCATACTTGCAAG